CGTACCATGAGAACCAGAAGCTTCGACAGGTGAGGTCGAAGTTTTCCCAAACCCTAGAAACTGACGCGGGACTCATGGGGGACCGGCTGGGCGCAGGGGCAGCGCGGCTGCCGGTCTTCTTGGAGTGGGGGCCCACCATCCCCTCCTTCCTCCATTTGCCTTTCCTTTTTTCTCCCTTCTCTTTCTTTCCTTCCTTCCTCTTCCTTTTTTCTTTCCTAGGTTTTTTTCTAATTTAAATCATTTCCTAAAAGCCTAAATCTTGATTTTATTATCCTTAATTTAAAGTTTTTCCTAAAATATGAAATCTGATTTTTATTTTCCTTTCCTAGTTTAAAAGTCTTTCCTAAAATATAAAATCTGATTTTTATGCTCTTTAATTTAAATGTTTCCTAAAATAGGTCATATCAATTTATAAATAGGAGAGAATGTGCTTTGAGTTAGGTACTTATGTTATGAAATACGAATTTAGTTTTGTCTGAGTATTTTCCATCTTGAGGGTCGTATCTGACGCACAGGTAATGCTCCAGCTGTTTTTTGTCTGAAGTGGTGATCCTCTCCACGGATCCTGGTGGTGTTTCAGTTGTAGCTTGACCCCACCGAGGTATTTATCTCTTTGTCCATCCTCCTGGCCATTGACCTACTTCTTACATAGCAGTCTCACCTCTCTAGCCTTCACAGCAGCCGCCAATCCAGCCGTCGACGATGTTCCTGCACCTCTCTAGCTGCGGTTTGACGACGTTGCCATTGCCACCCTTGCTGCCACCACTCAGAACAGCAAGGATCTACTGTTTCCTGCAGTTTCAGCCACCCCAATCGTCTTTTCCTCCTCGTCCTTGTTGCCCTCACTGTCCCGGCCCTTCACCTTTGCTGCTGCAGAAAGAAAAGCCATCGCTTTGCAGTTTTCCTGCTGCTTAGCAGCCCCAAACAGCAACCGACTACTGTTCTGACTGCCACCCCAAGCTGACTTGTTGTTCCAACAACTGTCCATCCCTCCTGCCACCTCCCTACAGTCGTCGCCCTCTCTCCTCAGCCACCGAACGCGTCCAGCAGCCTCCGTCCGTGTCGTCCCCCGCGGACTTCTTTTATAGTTTTTGTTATCATGTTTGTTTGTCATTTATTTCCTACTTTCCTGTATCGTGTTTGTAAGATATTTGAAATTCAGAAATAATATTCATATATTTTTGGGTAAACTCTGATATCACATTTCCCGCAATATATTAAAACTTAACATCATGACTTTAAAAATCCATATAGATGAAGTTAAGGGTTCTCCTGGTCCGAAGTATTTAAGTTGCCATTTGGAGATACAAAAACGTAAATCCTCTTTATTGCTTTAATAAGCACTAGGGTTATCTTATACAAATTGGAAGACCCGCATTTCTATATATTAGTGTTGAAGTAATCCCACTATTTCATACCATTGTTTTGCCTTGTCATAAGGTTATGCCTTTACTAGACTGTGTGCTATCTCGTTTGAATAGAATTTTTGTATAAATCTCCTTTTATGTTGAATACGGAACACAAACTAGCACTAATTAAAAGTGTTCTTAAATATCACACTGGACATGTAGTTAACTATAAGGGCGTGTGCTCATGAAAACTTAGCCATCCACAATCTTTAACTATAAGAAAGTCTATCTAAAATTTTTTCGATCTATCTTCAATTGATTCTCATTCAATTTATTCTCATATTTAATAGAATATCTACGACTATGTATGATCCAATAATTTCGCCCTAAAATACATGAGGCTCATGCAGATAGAATAAAACAATTTTGACTTCATCCTATGTTAAGGCATTCCAAAGAGAGCTAAAAATTTGAGGATCATACGAAAGATAAAGTCAAAGTTTCAGAAAAAAAAAAAAAAGTTGGTTGGATGAGGTGAACATGGATCTAAAATGGTTTATAAAATGATTTGCAATATCTTGGGAGTAAAAGCAATGTTTTACAAGGCAAAATCGAGAATTCATATGTTTTTACTTAGCGAGGCAAGGTGTAAGCCTCAATGCAGATTAATGAGTAAGCCTCGAAATAGAAGAATTAAAAACTCATAAAAATAAACATAATTCATGAATTAATATTGTAAAATTAAACTGCACCTGGATGTAAACATAATTCATATATTAATATCATGAATTGCATTATTCTCTGCATCAAATTAAAGTTATATATAATTATATACTATTATTTACTATCCCTTGCATTTAAGTGAATATCACGAAAGCTAATTTGCGATGTGGAGAAGAAAGCAGTTCGTTTGCAAAAAAGACTGACAAAGCTTGTCTGCGGCGTGGATAAGAAAGCAGCTCGTATGCGGTGCGGAGAACAAGATTATTGAAGCTCAGTAGGGACTCTATCAAACCTGAAGGGGGACACTTGAATGAACTTGAACAATGTCAAAAGGGCTTGAGACTACACCAATCGGGAGACAGAGTGCGATGTTCATAACGACAATGATTGGGAGACGAAATGCAAATCTCAAAATGACAATGATTGGAAGATGAAGTGCGGCACTCGGGATTTGGAGACAATGTGCGGTGCTCGGGACGACGATCATTGATTGTGCTTATGATAGTAACTAAATAGTGTCTCAGACGCGCCCTAGACATGCCTCGGACATCATAAGACGTAACCGCATTGAGACTTGCGCCTTAAAAAGTGGTAAGGCTAACCTACAAGCTCGAGCTATTATTCGACAGCGCGAATCGAGGCGTGTCTGAGCCTCGAACGATTTTTTAAACAATGAGTAAAAAAAGAAGCTATTACAATTCAAAATGAATTGGATGGAGCCCTTTTTCCTACAATCATTGCCAACATTAAGGAATTTAGATGGGTTTCTTTCAGCGTTCAAGAATCAACAAATTGAGAAATATGCCCCTATAAAGTTGTTCTTTTTTTCTCTATGATACTGATAAAGTTTCACTCTAAGTTGAGCATTCTCATCAAACTCAAAAGGAAAGAGATGCAGAGAGAGCCATCTTCTGCCTTAATTTTGAAAGATTCAAGATTTAATTATCAAAATGAAAAAGATTAAAGAATTATTTCATTGTTTCAAATTTCTTTAAAAGAGCTCTTTCAACCGCCCGACAAAATAATCATCCCGAATAACTCCGAAAGAGTTCCTGCACTCCACAATCATTCATTTAACAATGTTATTTAATGGAACACGAGCGATTATTATGTCCAAAAATCATAGATATGATTGGTGGTATTTAGGTAGTATTGGTGGTATTTTGCACTGTAACACACCAATACTATCAAAATACCACCAAATTCGAACGCATCCGCATCTTTCTCATTCGGACATAATAATTTTCGTGGAAGACGAAGTACTAATGGATTCAAAAGTTTAGTAACACTATACAATGATCAAAGAGAATTCTACTTCAAGAAAATTGTTGTGATCAAGACAGGGACTTCTTAATCAAAGGAGATGAGGAAATGATCAATCAATGGTAAGTTTAATGAAATTTATGATTGGAGCAAGATAAGTGTTTTCTTTTTTAAATGTCAATCAAGTAAAGTAAATGTCACAAACCAATTAAAAATAGTCTAAAGAGAGGGAATTATTAAAGCCATCATATGAATGCATGAGACGTGCCATTTAATACCCATTCGGTGAAATATTATCAAAAATGACTTTCAAATTTAGGTCCAATTAACCATAGACAGTGTGGGATGAGAGGTCAAGGGTTCCACAGCATTTAAAGAAATGAAAAGAACATTTACAAAGTAAATGGAAGTGACGATAAATAAAGTTCCCACCATAAATAACAACACCGTAAGTACTGAGAACATCTAAGTTATCCAAGTTTCGACTAAGTAATCACCAATTTGTTTGAAAATAGAAGGATTGGGGAAGAAATTTTTTATCTCCTAAGTGCAATAGATTCTGAGTCTAACCTCCTCTAACCATTTGGCATTTCACTTTAAACTTGAATGGAAGCACCTCAACTAGCAACCCCTCTGCATCCTCTACACGTAGAGGAGATTTCCACTATGAAGCATTTATTAACTTCATTTAAGGCTCATCAAAGATAGTCAAGTCTAGAACACCCTTGGACTTGCTCAAAATTGTAATAAGAAGAGATAGAAAGCAAGTGCGGGTGAAAAGTGCGGGTGAAAAGCACGATGACCATAGTGCGTGCAATAAAGTTCTAAAAAAAGAACTATAAATCTCAAATTTATAGGTGTCAACATTGACATGTAGGACATGTGCCAAAAATATATGTATTATATTTAATAAACAAACAGCCCCAATCCATGCCTATAACTCAAGTTAATAAGTTTAAATTGGGCTTATCGGTACTTTTACATATCCTTCTCATGTGAGATTCAAAAAAGTAATATACATGCAAATTCATCTTTTTTTTTAATAAGCAATTATGAGGACCTAAGCCTGGTTAGAAAATTCATTGTTTATAAATGGTTCATCTACAACCCAATCTTGTTTGTCTAAAGTGGCCCAAAGCCAAATCTCAAATAAATCACCAAAGAGTTGGCTCTAACTTGACCCTCAGAGCTATGTTGAACTCGTTTAAGGGACTCACAAATCCACCCCCCCTCCAACAAAAAAATAAAATAAAAATATGAGCATACCAAAGTATTTGTCAGCACATTAGGGTTCTACATCATAAGAACTCATAAAGTGTCCCACCCACAAGGGCTACAACTCAAAACTGGACCAATTTTTTATTGAATACAGACAGAATAGAAGTCTAGCTCATTGCTATAAAGCTATCCACGGTGTTTTTGACCTATAAATTTTCTATGTAATTCTACTATGATGCTATTTCTCTAATGTATACCTTTAACTCACCCTCAAATCAGAACTAGACTTAAATTCCTCTGACCACCTGCCAGCTAAATGTTTAAATCAATTGCCACGGAATTAGAAACAGAGAGTTTAAACCTATAAATTCGAGTTGTAATTATACTGATGAACCAATTTTACAGCATCAATAATGATCCTCTTCTAAGCTCATCGGGAAGTAAAAATTTTATGCAAGATCAATTTCTTTCTGAATTGTTTTTTCGTAGCTCGATTCTGCTCGTTCTTCTCTATTCAAAACAGTTCATCATGGTTTCCTAATTCATTTTTTTGTGAGATTATTGTATCTTTTCCTTCGGATATAGCATATAACTCACACACAAACACAAAACGAAATACAGAGAAACGCTTGTCTTACCGAGATAGTGTTTGCCGAGTAGTTATTACGGATCGGAACATTGATCGATAAAAGCATCATCCTGCAACGAGAAAGTAGTTTCGGCCAAAAATCAGAGAAAATATTTTTAAAACACAAACAAATAAAAAATATCAGAACAGAAGCAACAAGCCTGGAGATGGTGGGAGCGAAGTTGCTGCGGAGCTTTTCAAGGCCGTCGACGCATCCCGCCACAGTGAGCGCAAGGAATAGGAAGAAACCCCCCAAATGCCTGACAAATGCAATCATAACCTTCCAATCAATGATCAATTACTAATAAAATGCCGCACATAAAGAAGAAAAACGTAGCTAGGGTTCCGATCTGAAATCGATCGATCTACACACGTCCAGACATTGAGGGTCTCGTTATGCCAGGAAAACACGCTGAGAAGAGCATCAAGAAGCGGCCAGTCAGCGCGATAGTGATTGAGGATAAACTCGTTGTCCTTGAGGTAATCTGGCAGCTCATCGAACCCAACAAGACGGAGCTTCCGCCGGCTGGACCGCCCCCACCATAAAAGGACCCCCTCCGCCTTCTCGGGAAATTAAAAACAACTGTCAAATACTTGTCTTTTAGAAGTATATGAATGAAACATTTTTTAAAATAAGTCATGCAAACTCACCCATAATTTAAATCAAGCATACCTAATCAGGTGCATGGCTAGGAAAAGTATAAAGATCCATCAAAGTTGGTCAGAAAAAGCAATGTAGATGTGTTTCATGGGGATGTGATACAACATACTATTCAGATTGAACCACATTAATATAGGATTTATCAAGTTGGAATGATTTTTGTGATTTTTTGAAAAAAAAAAAAAATAGCTCACCATTTGCTTGTACCAAAACTCACAATGTCATGACAAGATACTAGTTTTGATTAAGAGGAGATATTACAAGTTTAACAAAGAGGTGTTTTTATAAGAGGAATTTTAGTAAAAAAAAAAAAAAAAAGATGAGTATTTTGTATGAAGTTTCAATTTTTTTTTTATGATGGTGGAGGTGTTGAGGAATTAGGATTAGATATCGAGTGAGGATTAAATTTAAGATTTTTGTGTTTCCATATGTGATCCTACGTGATTGCACGACTGGAGCAACAATATTCCTATTTTTCTAAAGAATTTGTGTGTTAACCTAATCGTTTCACTTGCCTGCTTCTATAATACTGAACTAAAGCCTATTTTAACATTCTAAATGATCAAATTAGGAGTAAATTACAAGCAAAATGTTAACCTATCAACTTCCTATACTTAGTGAATTATTTACACTGTATGGATAGTTTTAAAATGCATGGGTTACCAAGTCAAGTGAGTGAGAATTTTAGTTCTTACTCATTTGAGATTGTTGGCATCAAACGTTTATGCCGTATGTGTGGAATGTTTGCTTGAATGTTTGGGGACTATATTTCACTTACTCACAGTCTTCCTTAGTTCAATATAACCATTGGGACTTTTCTGGTACATGTTTTAGAGTACGGAACAAGGGTTGGTATTGTTTTAGCCGTACCCAGGAGATCTCGCCGTTGGTTGATGTTAGTTTTGACACAAGGCACATATGTTGCCCATTCTAACATTTAAAGGTCATGCCCCGTCCATTTGGAGCATCTCGTGATCAAAAGTAGTAGAATCCTCCCACGTGCGTTTTAGAGAAAGTCATAGTTTGGGTTGATGCACTCGCAAGGTGGTCCGGGATGACCGGCGATATTAAAATTTTCGATATAAAACATCCTGTTTTTTTTATGAGGCCGGATTATTTATCGTCATATGATTACCTTTTTCGAGTAAATCTCTATTAAGAGTCACATGGATGATTTAGATAGTAGAGAAATCAGAAATAACTGACATACAACAATTAAAACAACGAGAGAAAGAACGTGAAAACTTTCGTAAGTAAATTTCACGTGATAACCCAAGAACATATGTCCGAACAAGATCAGATAGAAAATGTCTAGGAAAACATGCCTGCGAAGAAGACCTTACAAAAGCAATGCACAACCAGAGAATTAAGTGTATGTGTTTGTTATGGGGTCAAGAGCAACTCCCAAATTGACATATTCCTTTGGTTAATTACACTTTCGGGGTGCCCATCTCGACTAAATAAATCTCACTTACACTTGTATAACGGCCAATAAAGGGAGTCATAAAGGACAGTTATCTCGTAGGAGTGTCATGATGCCTTCAATGCTTAAACCAATTCATACAAGCAGAGAGTGAGTCTCTCACGATCCCATACAGATAGCGGCTTATCGGCGACTAGGGCTTATGAAATAACTGAGTCGGCGACCAAAGCCTATGTATATGTGGAGCCTGACCACATATTATTGCTTTATTGGATATGTTGTCTGCCCATAGACACTCGACATGTTCATTTATTTATTTACTTTACTTGTTTACCTTGTATTGAGTTATGCCTTTCCGCTTACTTATGACTGTGATTTGTCTAAGAATCATGTGAAATGTAATTTAAGCTCTTTAAGGACATAAAATATTCTCTTTTTATAAAATCCAAATAATAAAAAATTTAGATAAAAATTTTAAATTTAAGATTAAAATATTTTGACTATTTAAAACCAGCATTTTACTTTTCTGCATAGCCCTCGGGCCGATTTTAAAATAGATTACATGACATTGACGTAACTCAAGTCATCTCTAATAGAGCCTCCACACTAGAATCTGATGGATAATTGCATCATATTTGTATATCCCGATGATAAGCCCCCGTGCTTACCAAGCAAAATGATTTTACGTAGTTGGTTTGTCCAGCACGCCTAGGATGTTAAAGGCTTCTCTGACCCAGACAAGGTATAAGTCCTTTGTGGGATAGTTTTGTCTTTGTAGCCAAACCCCTATCATCCGTTCCATTCCAGTGTCATTTTCACAATTTATTTTGTGGGTATGAATCCCACCTCTATACACTCTACCTCTAGAGGGTCACTGACTTAGAGTTTCATTATCTTGACCTTAGAGATACTGAAATCTCCTTGGACGACACAATTGATGGGTTGCTAATAAGGTATCTCAGTTGGGTTGGATCAATTACCTTTACGACTAGGTATATTTTGGGTCCTAATAGCCTGGGATGATATAAATATAGTGTCCCGGTCTGACTATCTTTACCCGATTAAGATTCTTTTGTCTCTCAATTGATATACCCCTTTTAAGCCATGTTTGTTCTTTTGATATCATTTATATCATTATACAGACTCTTTTTTACCAATAAGTTACGGTCTGTTTTGGATACAATGAATCACTCTCTTCCCTTTATGGTTGGGTGTAGGCTTTAAGGTATTAAGATGATCCTATTTGAGATTATTTGGTTATTTTGTGGGTATCGTTTGCCGAGTAGTTGTCGTTTGTAGTGGACACAGTGATTCCCTCTTTGCCCTATGGCCCGACATAAACTACGAAGGCATCGAGATGTTTCTCACTTTAGATAACTATCATTTTGGTGACTTATCAACTGGTTGTCATGATAATGCAACCAAAGACCTCTATTATTGAGAGTATTATTGGGCATCTCACAATATATTATTAACCAAATGGATATATCCCTTTGGTAGTGCTCTTGACCAAAGAACAAAAAAAATATTACTTTTGGTTCTCTTTTATATATGTTACTTATGTAGGGATTCTCTTTGTGATTTTGTGTTTTGAGGTATTTCAATTTAATTATATTGGATTACCTTACATAAGTTCTCCGTGTGTTTTTTTTTTAATTTGTTTGTTTGTTTTTGTCGTATACTCTCATATTTCCAATTTTTTTTTTCAAGATCATTTTTAATGTCATGCACGATGACGATATATATAAAAATAGACAAACTAGAGACTCTGGGTTTAATTTAAAAGAATAAAAAATAGTTACCAAAAAGTTAAATTTAGAATAATAAAAAATAGTTACAAAAAAAATTCCTTTCACAATAAAAGCAAATAATTAGATGCTAGTGATTATAATGATTTTACTTCACTTACACCACTCCAACTATACAATATGCTCGATCTCATTCTCCTCACCGATTCTCACTCAAGAGAACACTCGATACAACTCAGAACACTCTCATGTTCTTTTCCTTTGAAGTGCTCTGACCACTCTCGAATGATATTCGACGACACATTCGCCTTAACATGTATTTTTCTCCGTGTTCCATGTCTTCCCCCTGGGTTCATTCTTTCCATCTTCCATCCACCTTTTTCAGCCCATTTGTTGTGGAAATCACATGAATGAATTGTTAAAACCGTCTAATTGCTAATATGGGGACGACACTTCCAAGCTTGGCACCCTACTTCATGGTTATTAGCTTGTTCACATGCCCTAGCGCATGGATGGCACAAAACTTCCACTTCCTCTAGATAGTTTGACCCCAACCATTATAGCCCAATTACGACTTTGACAGTCAACTACAAATTTGTTAGCCCCATTATAATTATTATATCACCTAAATATAATTACTACAACTGAGATAGTCTCACGACTATTATTGTAGTATAACCACACCTATTACAGCCCTAACAACAAGTTTAAAATTATATTTGTGAGGTTTTTCAACAATTATGATTTCAATATAATCTCACAAGCCCATCTTCCACAGGCAAGGCAAAGTGTGAACTCTGTACTATTGATTACAAAATATCTATTTTGACTAGGCGAGGCCCAGTTTTTTTACTTTTCAAGGGTTTTTCACGTAAATAAATATGATGATGTATTTCACTTTTATCTATGCATGTGCTGAAAAATTACTTTGAGTTGATATGTATGATTTTTCTACCATCTACAAATTTCTACTACACAACATTTCTATTTTCTTTGCCATTATTTATAGAAATTTATGATTAAAAACAAGTTTACATTATTACTAACACAATAACCATAAAATATTACTATTCCATGTTCTTCTTGAATAAAACTTAAAATCCTAACAAGGGTCATTTACATAGATACCACATAATTTGTAAGTATTCATACTTTCAACACTAGAAACTTTCATGTTTACATACATAGCACTAAAATTTTTCAAATTACATAAAAAATTCATCTTCTCATGCACCCATTTATGACACTAAAGAGTATAAATATAAATAACAAGATATATTGTTTATATATGTAAATACATAAGAATTGTGAGGTATGTTTGTAAATTTTTATTATAAGAGCTATTTTTTTAATAATTTAATAATTAATTTAAAAGACAATTACTAAAACTTCTATAGAGAATAATAGAATCCTAGGGGCATTTACATACACACCACCCAATTGTTGAGTATTACAATCCAACACATAATCTTTGATTTTTATATTTATATCCTCCAAAATTTTGATTTTACATAAAAGCATCACTTTTAACTTCTAAAAATCCAAATACACCTTTTATAAAGTGACATGTATGAAAATTGAAGTGTGATTGATATGTAATTATATAAGAGTTAAATGGTATGCATGTAAATCTTCCTTAAATCTTAGCCGGGGATAAAGCCCGCGCTGAAGGAGTGGCTTCAAGTCTTACGGGATAAGGAAGGCTGCCATGCGCTATCTTGCTTCAATGGCTCCTCCGCTCACCGCTCGACATGGCTAGCTCTGTCGCCCTCTTTTCCGCTCGCTGCTTCCGCTTCTACTCCACTTCCTCCTGCATCCCCGGACGTAGGATCCGTGCTATGTCTTCCATCACCATCATTCCGGCGATCATAGTTGGCGGCGGGAGGATTGGTAGGGCTCTCCAGGGCATGGGAGATGGCCGCGATGTCCTCATCGGTCGAGGACAGCAGGTTCCTTCCGACTTCGATGGTCCCATCTTCGTTTGCACCCGGAACGACGACCTCGACGCCGTGCTCGAGGGTACTCTTTCTTCTCGATGGAGCGGTAATCCCAGTCCTGTTCAAACTCTAGCTTCTTCTTTAATTATGAGCTGGAATTTAATGACGTGTGTGTAATTCTTTAGCAGATATGGTGTTTTTCCAGAATGGAATGCTTGATCCTTGGTTCGAGAGTAGAGGCCTTGGGGATGCGAATCAAGTTTTGGCTTATTTTGCGGTGTCCAAGCTTGGGGAGTCTCCCACGGATGGCAAGACTGATACGAATCCTGAAGGGTTGACCGCTGCTTTCGGGAAATGGGCTTCTGCGGTGGCAGCACGGTTGCATGGTGGCGGTCTCTCTTGCAAGGTATCGGAATCCTGAATTTAGGTGCATTTCTGAGCAGTTATAGTAGAAATGTATGCAATGCCGGTGATTAGGTGGTGTTGTGTGCTAATTGACTGTGCTCATACCTAAAACCCGCCCGGCACATAGCTGAAGTTCCACAGACAATCAATTAAGTTTTGGCACGTCAATGCGAAGCTTGGTGATTTTACTCCTAATTTTTTGTCATTATTCTCGTTAATTAGACATTCTTGATTCAGTCGTACTTAAAGAAATCCGACATTTTGTAATTGTTCTTGACGGAACTATTCTTTATTCAAGGCTCATGTAATCATGCTCTATAGGCTTGTTATACTTGAAGCTACTTTTTCTTCTTTTGCATTTAATGAAGTATTGTTTACTTTGCTACCATTGTCCTTTTGCCTGTTCTTTAATTTTCAATTTGTGCCTGGAGTAATCATGGTTGTGACCCGAAAGCCCAGTCATACTGTAAAATTTTAAGGTGCCTTATTTGTAAATCACGACTCTTCGGAGGAAAACTACATCATATCAAATCACGTTGAGTTGAGGTGTGACATATGAAACTTCAAGTTGATAATTCTATAGATATTTGATTACATATATTTTTTATAAAAAGTTCCCCTTAAAAGTCATGATTTATTGGATAGAAAATTTTAGTTCCATTTATATAAAAACAAAGTCATCTAAATTATTACATAAAATTAACTGCTAAATTAAAGGAAACATAAGCTTTTATAGGCATTGATTATGTTGTTTACATCCACAAGAATCATGCACATTGATTACGATCATTTATTCATATATAATATCAAAGCACAACAACAACAACAACAACAACAACAACAACAACAACAACAACAACAACAACAACAACAACAACAACAACAACAACAACAACAACAACAACAACAACAACAAAGCCTTAATCCCACTACGTGGGGTCGGCTACATGAATCCTTTTTCTCCATTGCGTCCTATTTAGTGTCATATTTTCATTTAGTTCTAGTAAATTAAGATCATTTTTAATACAATAAGCCCAAGTCTTCCTAGGTCTACCTCTACCTTTCTTAACACAAGTCGAATTTAAAACATCTACTCTCCTAATCGGATCATCTAATGGTCGACGTTTAATATGACCAAACCATCTAAGACGACTTTCTCTAATTTTGTCTGTCACAGGAGCTACACCAACCCTATCACGAATATATTCATTCCGCATTTTGTCTCTAAGTGTAAAGCCACTCATCCACCTAATCATTCTCATCTCGGCAACACTTAACTTATTATTATGCTTCTCTTTTAAAGGCCAACATTCAGCGCCATAGAGCATTGCAGGTCTCACCACCGTCTTATAAAATTTTCCTTTCAGTCTTAGCCGTACTTTTCTATCACACAAAAGGCCCAAAGCATTCCTCCACTTCAACCAACCAACTTGAATTCTACTATTAACATCCCCATCTATATCACCATCGCTTTGGACAACGGACCCAAGATATCTAAATCGTTCACACCTTTTAATAATTTGATCACCCAAAGTCACACTTCTGTCA